GTCGGGTCTGAGCTCCAGAGCGAAGGCCACTTTAACGTTAAGTGTGTCGTAAACTATTTGCATGTATTTAATCATTATTTAAACTACAATTCCTATAGTTATGGTGTGAAGACATACCGTAATCAACACTAGAACCCGAAGCCACGTCTATTTAGTTTGAATTCAAAATATTAGTAACAAAATAGTAGAATAATTGCATCAAATAGTCATACAAATAGTATTAGCAATCGTTCCGTAAGTAAAAGAGAGTCCATTTGTGGCTTTAATAGCGTCAACACCCAATTTAGACAACGTGTCCTGTTTTACACAATATTTTCAAAGAATTAAATTTTTAATATAAATAATGCATTGAAAATATTGAAAGCAATTGACAAATGCTAACCAATTGACTCTTATTTGGTGGACTTGCTTTTTTATAACCCCACGGATACATCCAGAGCTGACTATAGCTGTGTAGTGAGATATAAGCGACAGTATTGTCCGCCTTTCCTCTCACCAAATCTGCCATTGCTTTGGACTCGGGTTCAGAAAAGGCTGATTTCCCGCAATAGTCTTCATCGCATGGATAATCGGAAGCCCCGTCTTCACAAAACGCTGAGTCCCAGCTATAATACATTTGTTATAAAGTTACAATATAATCGCTACAGTTATACACTTCTATAGTATATTGTTCAGTATATTGAGTAATACAAGTATTTATTAAGTATGATAAATTATAATTTATAATATTGACTGACTTTCTATTAGGATCCGCTCCATAGCACAGACCATTCTTTGATCTAGTTTTACGCCATTTCCTGTTTGTGGTGTGAGTGTAGACATAACTGTTGTGTAAAATGAAAAAATATAAAAAATTATATATACATTAATTTTATTTTATAACAACAAATGCAATACCCGTCGGGATTAAGTGTCGGTACTATTATAAACTCGTATTTCTCCAAAAGGGTGTCATAATTAGTGGTCGAAACCAATTGGTTTGATATCCACAGACACGCAGCCGTTGAGATCCATTCTCTGGCGTGTATTCCTATGTGTTATTACATTAAATGATTAAACTATAATTCTATGATTTAACATTAAAAGAACGGACCACATTCAAAAAATATTGTTTTCTTATTAGTGCCACCAGTTTTAGTGATTGTTAAGTATGGGATATCTCTGTTCTCAGTACTCTTACCAACGACACCATACGTTGCTTTTCCACCTTTTTGTGGGTAAATTTTAATTTATTTAATAAACAGATATTCTTAAATATTTGGGACCAAACCTCCGGCTCCAACCGCTTTGAGTTCAGCCAAGATATCGTCGTAAGTGTTATATTTGGTTTCGTAGTCAAAACCCGCTCTACTACTCAATAGTGAAGCCCTAGTGTTGGCCTCTTTTTCCGCGTCAATCACTTTCTGGAAGTTATTGACGTGGTGAAGCATAGACTACAAGCTACGCAAATTACTGACATTCTTGGCCAGCAGCCCAGGCTGTTCTCAACACTGCCCTGAGTACAGACCGTAGCCTACGCACTTTTTCAGGTGTAAACTGATTTTATGACAAAAGATATATAAAATATATATCTATAGGAAAATATTAAAACTACTCACACTAAAGACGCGGTTCAGTCGATGTAATTGTTTTAAATCGAAGTCATATTTGGGATAAATTCTGACAATCTTATGGTCACTGAAGTCTACGGGTGCTTCCGATACGGAGGCGCTTATAGCGTGAACGAGTGCCACAAATATAAGTGTTTTGCACAACATTTTTAGTAACTTTTACACAAATGTTACTAAAAATTAATGTTTGAATTTATGCATCGGTTCTCTGTATTTATGTCATTTTTGAATTCACTTGTTTTCAGTATTAATGGTACGATTAATACTATAATTTGTGAACTAATATAATCCCGATGTGGGGATCGGTTGTTAAAATATGAGCACAACATTTGATAAAACGGTTGAAACATTTAATTGCAATTTTCTTTGAAATTGAATTATGTAAGGATTTTGAAGACTTAAAATATTTGTATATCATGTAATTATACAACATTATTATCTGGATATATTTATTATTCTGTGTTATAGATAATTCTATGACTTAATATCAATATGAGTTTTATATACAGTATATAAATACTGTATAACTAATCTTTGTTATAGAAATGATAGATTTATATCTCAAAAGAGAAGTCAATATAAAAACAATGTAATTGTAATAATTGTGTGAATTCCGTGAACATTGAGTTAAGAGAAACCAGGTATGAGTGTGTGATAGCACTCTAATCCATTGGTTCTAACAAATGGACACTTCTAACAATTATCATTTTGACTTTAAAATTCTACTTTTATCTTATATTATGATTATCAGTACATTAAGTCTCATGTTTTTTATAAACTTTCTTTTTGCTCTTTAATCACTAACAAGTAATCATATTCTTACAATTATTGTTAGTGCATATAATACAGTATATGGTAAAATTTATTACTGTACCTTCATGACGTGAAACTAGTATTACAAACAAAATTATCATGCATATTTAAGCAAATATAATTAAAATAAATATTTTGTATATCCGATTCTTACAATAAATACCATAATATTCTATATATTTTCTGTAAAATAAAAACATATTGATATTATTACAAAATTATTTTGCAACTTTTAAAAGAAATCTTAAAATTACTGATCCTTTCTAACAAAAAATAAATTGAGAATATTTGGTTTAAAAACCGATGATTACATTTGATATAATATAATAATGGAAATCATGGAAATAACACTGTAAAGTGTATTGAAGTTTAGAATTGTGCCAAAGTCTGAAAATATATTGGAATTATATGTCTGTTAATCAATTAGACCACTACTGAGTCTTAAACCAATAGTAGTTTAGTACTTATTTTAATTCTACTGGATAAAGAAACCATCGATTGAATTGTTAGCACATATAACATGTGACAATCTATGGACTATCAATTTAAATTTGAAGGCAATAAAAAACTATTCAACCGATTTTAATCAAATCATATTAATTGGATGCGACGATATTAATTGCCTGTAATATTTTAGTGCAATTTAAAAATATACCATATAAAACAACAACAACAGATTAGCGGGGGTTTAATAATTAAAAACATTGTTTATTCATAATTTGGAAACAATTGCATTTGATATGAAAGGATTGGTTGGTTATAACTTCTCAATCATAGCTCGTAATCCATTCCAGAACTCTTGTGAAGCGATCTTAATCTGAGACGCGGGTAATATAAAGCCATTGGAAGCGTTCGCATCGGGTCTCAACTCCAGAGCAAAAGCTATTTGAACGCCCAGTTTATCGTAAACTATGGACACATATTTTGTTAAGTATTAATAATGAAGTATTTGTGCATTTATTAAAAGGCATACCGTAATCAATGCTCGAACCCGAAGCCACGTCTATGTGTTAAATCAGTAGTAATTTAATTAAACATTCAATGCAAACATTAGGTACAATATTCTTACAAATAGTGTTAGCGATAGTTCCGTATTTGAAATTGCGGCCATCTGTGGCTTTAATAGCGGCCACACCAGCGGCGGACAATTCATCCTGTTTTACCAATACATAAATTTAAAGTTATCGTTGTGTACATGTTGTATTTTGCCAAAATAGCTAACCAATCTAGCTTTGTTTGGTGGGTTAGCAGACTTGTAACCCCACGGATACATCCATAGCTGACTATAGCTGTGAACCGAGACATAGGCGGCCGTATTGGCGGCTTTCGTTGCGACCAAATCTGCCATCGCTTTGGCTTCGGATTCAGAAAAGACTGATTTCCCGCAATAGGTATCACTGCAGGGACTGCTAGAAGCGCCCGTTTGGCAGAAGGCGGCGTCCCAACTATATTACCGGTCATTTCACACTTTATTGATCCAAAATTCTGATGCAATTTTATATTTACTTACTTTCTGTTAGGATCCGCTCCATAGCACAGGCCATTCTGGGATCGAGTTTTACGCCAATTCCTGTTTGTGGTGTGAGTGTAGATATAACTGCAAAATATTCAATAATAAATGCTTTATTAAATTTAAATTAATATATATTTTTGCACAATTATAATACCCGTCGACGTTAAGCGTTGGGACGATTATAAATTCGTATTTATCGAGAAGATTATCGTAAGTAGTGGTCGTCACCAATTGGTTTGATATCCACAGACAGGCAGCCGTTGAAATCCATTCTCTGGCGTGAATTCCTGTCAACCGTTAATTAAAATACAATTAATAATTATAATTTGCGGTAATAAATCACATGAATATATGCGGACACTGACCGCACTCCAGGAATATGGCTTTCTTAGCGGCTCCGCCAGGGTTTGTGATGATAAGGCCGGGAATATCTTTGCCTAGATAAGTTGTACCAACTTTAATATACTTGGCTTTAGTCTCTATTAAATAAGAAAATATGATACAAAAATAGCATATAATTGCAAACATAGGGACTAAACCTTCGTCATCAACTCGTCTCATTTCATCCCTGATCTCATCGTAGGTGTGATATACAGTGTCGTAATCGAAAGCTCTGGTGCTATACATTATATTCCTCAAGTTCTCGGCCTTTTCCTCGTCGTAGTGACAAACCTTCAATAACTGCTGGTGAAGCATAGACTAAGAGCTGCGCAAGTTGCGAGAGTTCTTGACTAACGGCGGCAGCCCTGGCTAGTCTCAACACTGCCCAGAGTACAGTGGGTAACCTAGGGTCCAGAAGTCCACTTTTGTCTAATATATTGCATACAAATTGTAATTATAAAAACTTTACTAAAACTACAAGAAATAAACATTACATCAAAGACATTCTCGAGTCGTTGCAATCGCTGCAAATCCCAAACAAATTTTGGGTGAATTCTGACGATCTTATGGTGACTGAAATCTACGGGCGCTTCCGACTCGAAGGCACCGATAGTGTGCACCAGTGCTACCAATGCAAGCGTTTTGCACAACATATTTAGTAACTTCTACTCAAATGTTGTACAAAAATTAATGCTTTCATTTATGTCTCAATTTTCTGTTTTTATATAATTATTGAATTCATTAAATGATTTATTAGTTTATTTTTAAAGCCCTTATATTTTATGAGAACACTTAAATTGTGTTTTATGAACTAGCGTACACTTTTTATTCACTATATAAAATACTAAACGAGTTTAAATGGTGATAAATGCGTTAAACTGTTTAAACGAGTGCTTAACGATAGTTACCATAGTGTACAATAGATTTCCCATTTAAACTAATTTACAACAATGAGTTTACTGTAATTTTATGTATTTTTATAGCCATTACACTTGAATAATTTTAAGATTAAATTATTAAAATTAACCCTGTTAATTAATCGTGTTAATAAATAAATATTTGGATATAAAGCTTTATTTAAGCATAATTATTTTTTGTTTTAAATGCTAAGAATCTGAAAATCTAAATATTAAAATTCAAATATGCTTTGTCAATAATTACAATTATATTCCGAAATTAATATTTTATTAATAATAACTAAAGCGCTTCAAAATATTTGGTAAAATGTTTTCCTCGATTAATGATAGTGTAGAAGACTTTGGGGCAAATGAATCACATAATTAGGGGTTGTTTTGACACAGTTTTATTTTAAATATAAATAATTATTTGGCTTATAAAAATTTTAAAAAAGAAAGATTTGGACTCTTATCTTGAATATTCTGAAATACTTTAATCATAACTATTTCTACAAATTAACCCCTATATAAACAGATTGCAATAATTATTATTTAAATTTGAGTAAAAACTATATTTAAAACAAAAAAAATAATTATATATATAGATTCTTGTAAATGTATCATGGATATCTTTGTACATTGTAATATAATTGTTAAAGTAAAAATTATATGGTTTGTAAATTAAGTTATCGTAAATGTAATCGTTATCAGTGCGGCAATTAAAATATCCTTGTTTATAATTTATGTGCTAAAACTGATGTACTTTATCTCATCTAAAATGTTTGAATTTGAACAATTAATTTAAATGACATTGTACACAAAATTTTTAGATACAGTTTAAACATTGGGATTAAATAATTGATAAACTATACCGTTTTTAATTATACTCAGTTAGTACGACAAGAAGTTAGTTACAACTGTTTGGTGATCATAAATTAACAAAACTATACTTATCATTATTAAATGTTTGTATTTTCAATTATTATGCATTTTCTTTAATTGATTTACTAGCCGTCAGCCCCGTCCACCAACTCTGTTACCCACCCCCTATTGTATGTTACTGTTGTATTTGTGTGCACTTTTCTTTTGTTTACTTTAATAAATGTATTGATGATTATAATTTTAAACACACTATCCGTTTATGAATGCATTNTTACTAGCCGTCAGCCCCGTCCACCAACTCTGTTACCCACCCCCTATTGTATGTTACTGTTGTATTTGTGTGCACTTTTCTTTTGTTTACTTTAATAAATGTATTGATGATTATAATTTTAAACACACTATCCGTTTATGAATGCATTTATTGTGAATGTATTGAATGTAAAAACGTGGCATTCATAGGCAAAAATTCAGTTATTTTTATTTTATTACTTATAGAAGTAATACTACTTTTGTACTAACATTGCTAATCATTAATTGTAAACTTTACATATAATGTTTTCTCTCTCTCTCTCTCTCTCACACACACACACACACACACACACACATAAAAATAATAAAAAACAATTTAAAAAATTTATATGGCTGAGCGAAGTCTCGAACATGAGATATACAGGTACCCGGCCTGCACTCTAACCATTATGCACACAGTACTATTTACATTTTGGATGTTTTATTTCAATATAAACGTTAAAATTCACAAATTGCTCACAAACTCTGTTATCCACTCCCTCTCCCATTTGTGTTGTCTATTCCCCTCTATGTGTTTCAAATACATTCCCCTATAGTTTTCACCACCCTCCCATCCCCCTATTGTATGGTACTGTTGTTAATGAACAGTTTATTTAGCTGAAATAGTATACTTGATACTAAACTTTTTTGGCCTTTAAATTGATTTTAAAAATAATATTTCAAGTCTATTAAACTGTATGCAAATTGATTTCTATTATTATTAATAAAATGTATTGTCAACTATTACTACACTATTCATTGACTACAATATCATCAACAAACCCATATGAATAGGAAATTTTGGACACAATTTGTATCAGTTTAATAGCATTGTTGAATACAATAGTGAATACATATGTATTGCATAGCATAATATTAATATATGGAATTATGGTGATTTTTATAATTAGTGTTGAATGTTATTCAAAAATTAAACATATTTTGAATTCACTTATAATCCTAACTTATAAAGTTTATACAAAAATGTTTTGAATTATATATAGTATTGATAATTGTTTGCAATTGTTTTCTATCTCTTTATTTATGAAATATCTCTTTATTGTAAGTATTGTTGTTTGTATTCATATTTAATAAAACTGTTGCAATTGTTTATTCAAACAATTCATTTCAATCCACAGTTAGGTTTAAATGACAGTTACGTTAAATTAGTTATAAATTTAAACTCAATTTAGTGAACAAACACTTGATTTGATAATCAAATAATTTTTAATTCCCTTTTCAACATTCAAATAATATTTTAGCGCTAAATATGTATCGATTGAATGGTTTATCGACGAATCGCATAAAAAAGTATTTTAAAAATCAAAATAAGTTATTTTAATGATCATTAACTCAAATCATTTATTTTATCCACATTTCAGTTTACCATTATTTATGGCACCCATTTGTGGCCATTATATGTCTGAACACATCCGACACAACGACACCATAACCACCAAAAGTGACCCAAACTTTACACTCAAACCATTGATAACTCTAAGAAACGCTCGTTTGATGGACAGTATGAGCCGCTCTATAATACAGAAATCAATTGCAAAGATACAAACTCCACATGGTTTAGGCACCGGCTTTATTGTGGACCCGTCGGGACTGATTGTCACCAATTGTCATGTGGTTCGGGACTATCAGTGCGTTTTGGTTACGCTATGGGAACCGCAGACTCGATCCCAACTGTTTGTCAACGACGTGAGTACCGCCGAAGTGCCCGATTTGCCGGGACATGTGGTCTACGCGGAGCCTCTGCTGGATCTGGCGTTAGTCAAAGTGTTTGTCAAAAAGGAGTCTCTGCCGGCGCTGACACTATCGACCCGAACGGACGTTAAGGCCGGCGAACCGATAGTAATTTTTGGGAACCCGGGTTTCCCGCTTGGCTTCGTATCGGGTGATGTGGTAGAGCCCAATCACCCGCATGTGAGCAATGTCTGGGATGTCGGTCGTTTCCATATAAACCAATTCCCTAACCACACGTACCATTATTTAGCGCACTCGGCGCCGAGAACTGGTGGTTTCTCGGGCGGCCCCGTAGTGGACGAGAAGGGACAAGTGATTGGCGTTCATTACTGTATGAGTCAATTGGACGGCGGAATCGCTACGAAGGCTACCGATGTTAGAGGTAATATGAGGTCCAGGAGTTGGGGCGCAATGGGTTGGGTTTGTTGACTGAGTTTTGTGCTGTTTTTATTTGTATACAGAGTTCCTGAATAGATACGAGTTATGGGAGCCTAAGAAGCCAGAGTACTCGACGGCCGGCAAGAAATCATTGGGCGTTATGTTAAAGCGGACACCCGGCGGCTTTCAGGTCACATACCCTGGCATCCATCGTTTGGTTGATGTCCCGGGGTTTGTGTTTTAATTATATACACTATTTGTTTGATTATGTGTTCAAAACACACTATAATTGTCTGTTTTAAACATTTTAGTGAAAATCAACGACTAGTGACCGGAGATGTGATCATTCATATCAATGGCAAACCTCTCACATCGTTTGCACAATTGGATGGCATTCTTGATTCGCACCCCTCTGGCCAACCCTTAATCATTACCGTGAAGAGAGGGCTCGTAAAAGACAAGCAGTTATCGGTTATGCCACTGACTGATTACCACAATTTTTCATTTATTTAATTGATTTGTTTTAGATGTTTTACATTTACATACATTTAGTTTATTTTGTTTTTAATTATTCATAATTGAGTTATTGTATGAATTAAATGTGAATTATTAAAAATTTATTTTTTATGCGATATAACATTAAATTCATTAAATTTATATTTTTTTAATTCACAATATACTTTTTAATTGTTAATTCAATTCAATTGTTATTGGATTCACAGTTATATTTACCGTTAATTGAACACAATTTAAACACAGATTTGATATCTTGAATAATTTGTATATTAAACCACATAATTGTAAAATATATTTGTTTAAGATTTGTATAATTGAAAAGTAGTTTTATCTTCGGTTTTACATTAAATTCAATTCATTAAAAAGCATTAAACGATGAATCAATTGATAAGTTTCTACACAAAACGGTTTGCATTAAAATTAAAAATATAAATCAATTTAATATTAACCATCAATTTTGTGGATTAGAAGTATAATCGGGGTAACGATTGCCGCGAATTACTGGATTCAATACCACCGAAAAGATGGACAATCGCTAAAAATGTCACCAAATAGTGAAATCAATTATCACTTTCATTTACGAATGGCTCAAATGTCACTGACATCCAAATCTAAACCCAAAGAGCCCTTTACTGACGAGTGGTTCGCGCCGTTTGTGTCCATCAGTAAAGCCATAAGAGTTGCCGGCAATAACCCGACCGCCGATTTCGACAATAATCACGACGCGTCGGGTTTTATATGCGATTCGCGTGGGTTTGTGGTCACGCGGTTCAGAATAGCGCAGCCACTGGACGGTCAATACCTGGTAAGACTGGGCAACGGCCGGGAAGTGTCGGCCCAATACGTTCACACCATATCAACCCTAAACATAGCGGTGCTTAAACTGAACGACAGTCACCAGACTGAGTGGCCTGTCGTTGACAAACATAATGCTGTCAAAC